AGAACGCTTACATAAATTATTTTAAAAATTATGGGCCTGTAACTTTGTCTGATCTTCACTCTTCTGAAAAATCGCAGGATCAAGTTAATATGTTAAAGAGGGACGACGATAGCTTGGATTTTTTTTTACTCGACTGTTCTTTTCTGAAAACATGGGACCAATGATTTTGAAGGTCATAAATTTCGACGATCCTAGCTTGTTTGCATAATACTTTATGTTCACTAGGCATGAAATTAATGTTACTCGGAGCATATCTCATTAGCATTTTTAATGGAATGACGACGTACAGTAGTTTTTATTTAGGCTAAAACAATGTTTAGCAACACAAATTGATAGACGCAAGTGCCTTCAGCAATAAGGGCGACGAAAAAATGGTCATATTCAAGATAATTAATCCACACACTTCAAATATTATTTGACCGAGGTAAAATATTCAATCGTGCTTGAAGCGTTCCGAAAGTAGTCAGTCAAATCCAGTATAGGTTGGCTTCCACCCAGTTCTATATCATCATGTCATAAAATGTAATGGGGTTATGAGTTAATTCATCTCATACTTGATATTGAGAATTGATGGATTCTACTAACTATTGGCATCGCTAACAATTGGGAAGAATTGCGGGGAGGATAGGCCTAATTTGATTTCATTTTTTTATTTATGGGTGATGATAGGCCTTATATTAATAATATTAATTAACTAACAACACCAATTTTGGAAAGCATTAAAAACCTTTGATATATTTATTATTATTATTATTGTTATTATTAATTATTATTATTATTATTATTATTATTATTATTATTATCAAATATTATTATCATTATTACTATTATTATTAATATTATTATTGTTATCATTATTAGTATTATTATTATTATTATCAAAATTATTATTATCAATAACAGAACAAACCTCGATTCTTAATAGTTGACATTTTTAATAATTCAAACCCTCAAACTTACAGAGACTATTAATCAAAAAATCAATTATTAAACATTTAAAATAATAATTTTCCTTGATTGACAAAGACCTGTGTATTAGCAGTAGATTAAAGAAGAGGACGGCTCCCCCTCCCCAGCTTTTTCAAAATTATCAAAAAAAGTGTAAAGAAAAAGGATATTGTAATCAAATTTTAAGTGTTGGGGGGGGGGGGCTGAGCTGGTCTACACCCTCTATCTGCAAATCCCTCTCTAGACCCGCTCGCACTCCCTGGTGGTTTCTTAATGAATTTTTAGTTTCATTGTTGTTGGTTTCATCTGGTTTGTGTTTATTGAGACCCCTCTGGAAATAAATCCTTTATTGGGATTTAGAGGGTTATCCCAGATATCAACATTGATGACTTGTTTTTCCAATTTTGTTTCATTGTATTCAGTCTGTCTCTTATACACATCTAGATGTGTATAAGAGACAGATTAAAAGGAATCTCCTCTTTACCTACAGATCTTAGTACAGAAACAAAAGCTGTTTTACAATTACTCTTGTTGTTGGCTGGTAGTGAAGAAACAGTGACAGAAGTACCTATTGGCCACAAACCTCTTAGGTTACCAATTTCTACGCATGTAAACAAGGTAAAGTACACTAATAAAATATATGCCCCAAATATAATTAAACTAGAAGCAACTTGAATGTTTTAATACATTAACTAAATAAACAGTGCCATGGGTTAATACTCCCCTTACATTTATGCCTTGGTTGCCACAACAAAAAAGGACAAAAAAATTATTTTGGTTCAAATATAATAGCCATAATAAGTATCAGAATTGAACAAAATTTCCAGAATCGGCCTGGGACTTATTAGTATTATTATTATTATTACTATTATTATCATAATTATTATTATTGTCATCATTATCAAATATTATTATCATTATTACTATTATTATTAATATTATTATTGTTATCATTATTAGTATTATTATTATTATCATAATCATTATTATTAATAACAGAACATACCTCGATTCCTAATAGTTGACATTTTTAATAATTCAAACCCTCAAACTTACAGACACTATTAATCAAAAAATCAATTATTAAACATTTAAAATACAAATTTTCCTTGATTGACAAAGACCTGTGTATTAGCAGTGGATTAAAGAAGAGGACAGCTCCCCCTCCCCAGCTTTTTCAAAATTATCAAAAAAGTGTAAAGAAAAAGGAAATTATAATCAAATTTTAAAAGTGTGGGGGGGGGGGGGCTGAGCTGGTCTACACCCTCTCTCTGCAAATCCCTCTCTAGGCCCGCTCGCACTCCCTGGTGGTTTCTTAATGAATTTTTAGTTTCATTGTTGTTGGTTTCATCTGTTTTGTGTTTATTGAGACCCCTCTGGAAATAAATCCTTTATTGGGATTTAGAGGGTTATCCCAGATATCAACATTGATGACTTGTTTTTCCAATTGTGTTTCATTGTATTCAGTTGTTCCGATTTTTTGTTGTTTTTAAGTTGATATCAATTGAATCAAATCAAATCAAATCATCTATTTTGAATTCCTGGATTCGCTACTGATCACACAGTATATACTACTTAAGGTACTTGTACACGGTTTTTGCTACGGCATGGAGGAGCACGGGATTCTCCATCTGATTATCATCTGTGCTTTGCTTGTCACCGATAGCATTATGATATAGAAAAACGTCGCCCAGTGGAATAAAACAGTGATAGTTTAATGATGAGTTTCAGCATACAGTTTGGGTTGACGTCGAAAACCAAATTGACTCTTTGTTAGAGCTGTGTCAACCGCAATGTGGTTAGCAACGGAAAACTGGATACGTGCTATACACACATTATTATTGTTATTATTTATCATTAGAAATATTATTATATTATTAATTATTATTGCTAAGATATTATTATTGAACTTTATTATTATTATTGTTAATAATAATAATATTTGATAATGATAATGACAATAATAATAATAATGATGATGATGATAATAATAATAATAATAAATATATCATATATTATATTATTAACTATTATTGTTAAAATATTATTATTGTTGATGAATTTATTTCAACATATTCTTATTAAATGACAAGCCGCCTTCCGTATTATTCTTGTTTTCATCCCACAACAGCAGTGTAATCGTAAACATGTTCAAAATATTGTTATAATAATATTTAAACGCTAGACGGTTGCTGTTTTATACAAGTAAACATATCACTCCCACAGGGCATGGTATATTAGGCCGACCATCAATAAAGTATCTTATGATGTAAAAGTAATCACAAAATCCCATTGTATTTTTTTTATTATAGCACAGTGTTGTTAAAAACATCTGTAGCCTACGTCATAATGATAATAATAATGTTACACTAATAGCGGTAAAGTACGGTATACAAAGTCTATGTAGTAAACACATAATAGGCCTACACCAGTAAAAAATAAGAAATAAAAACACTTCTAAATAAAAAAAACACCATCATAGGTTTAAGAATATGCTGTACAATGCACATTACCACCTCATTTGTGGATGCAGTAACATGATTAATGGAAACGAATGATTTCCTTTAAAAAAAATTAAACAAAAAGAAAAGGTGGGCGCTATCAACTAATAGGCTACATGGACGTTCTCAATAGGCCTAAATACATTAGGACTAATTTGAACAAACTTCAAGTGGGTTTAAGAGCACTCAGTAGAGAGTATATCTCGCCAACCGCAAATCCCTTTCTATAAAATAAATCTCCCAAAATATGTTACCAATTAATTTACTTCAACCACCACCACTACCACCCCACCCCGCTCCGCTCCACTCCTCTTCAAATACGCATAGTACGGTACCTCGCCCAAACACTTTTACTTAGGAAAATGTATGACATAGGAATGAACGCCTTTGTGGATAAGATGTTTCCAGTCTAGGGTTCGTAACAAGTGACAGGATCGTCCTCAAAACCAAAAACTCCACTCACTCAGCCTCATAACGAAACTACTTTATGTAATGCACAGGTGGGCAAAGTGCGGACCGACAGTGATGTGTTTGCGTCCCTCGAAAATGAATCAAAACCCCTGTAGGCCTACGTGTGCAGTCCGCCAAACATTTTTGGCTAGAAAACACGTACTTTTTTACGGCCCGACACCGACCATCTCTAAAAAGTAGTATTTCAACTGAGAATAAAGTGATGTAAAAGCAGTGCATGAAGGTTTTTGGAGGGCACACTGAAAACATCAAAGTTTGGGTGCGGCCCTCGATGTTAATTCAAAAATTCACTTTGATGTAATGTAGTTCGATTTATTTAGCTCCTGAGAGTCTTAAGAACTCAGGTGTGGATTATCTCGTACAATAACTTGCTGCTCCCCTAATGTCTCTTCGTGTCAGAGCTACCGGGTCCGGGTGGATGCAGGATTTGGCGGTAGTGGGTGCTCGAGAGTCCACACCAAAAACTGCCACAAATTTTAAAAACATGGACCCCTAGGTGCCCGGAAGTTGCACTCTCATACCTTAAAAATCTTACCGGTAGGGAGCAGTGTAACGAAGAGACCGGAGGCCCTTGGGCAGGGGCTCTTTAGGACCCCCAGACGCTGGGGCCGGAGTCCGCGATGGCGTTTTAAGCGTTTTATGACGTAGGCCTATGAACATTCGAATATATTTAGGCCTATTGCGGTATCAAGAATACATACAATTGTTTTTTTAATACAATTAAGGGGGAAGGGGTTCATAAAATACGTCAAATATAAGGTAAGTAAACTCACTTACAAATCGTCGACTCTGTGCCTAAATATATAACTAGCAATAACAATGCGTTTAATTCGTATATAAATACATAAAGTTCGTCCAGGTACATTGAGTCTCCATGTCATTAAACATTACGCGCATCAAGCCACGAGATAAGATGCTGGTATATATAATAANNATTTCTTATATCTCAATCTTGTATTAAAATTGTATTTGTACTACTATAAAAGCGTTATAAATCTAAATTGAACACTCACTAATAATACAGCTAACATTTAATTTTGTCGGTGGTAATTATTGAGATCAAAATAAGTTGGTACTTACTACTTATCTTGTGCATATATTTGTCCTGAAAATAAGTAATGCTCAGCTCTATTGTATCTTCCACAGTGTAATCGCCCAATATGTTCTGTTTTCAGCGAAACGTTATACAGTGTTTGACAGTGAGCCCCTAATACACAAATGACGCAAAATAATCAGACGCAATGTAAAATGAATCGCTCGAATTGGAGGATGCGGAGAAGGGATGGCCATCTGATAGAAGATAATGCTTGTATGGTCTCAAAAGTTTGACAAAACCAGAGGCATTGATTGGTCACGTGAAATATCACATAACATCGGCAGACGAAATATAGGCCTATATATATATTATATATATATAGGATATATATAATATATATATATATATGATATTAAAGGAAGTTAGCCGTTAACACTGTTGAATAAATATAATATATATCATCAAAGGTACATATACAGTGTTTAATAAGGACATATATATTATATTATATTATATATATATATATATATATATATA